CCAAGCATGCAAGTTGGAAAAGGCTGGAGCAGAGAAAAGACTCAAAGGTTGGCACCACCTCTTCCAGCCCCCACCTCAGGGGTTGGCATCCACAATGAGCCCAGAACCTTAGCTCACTTGGAGGTGGCTGCAGGCCCGAGGTTAGTGTCTCGCCATCCCAACCCCCTCAGCCCAGAAGTGGTTAGAGGCGAGGCCAGGGCGGCCGAGATGGAGAGAGCAGAGCTAGGCACAGGAGAAGCGGCTGCCTGCGCGGCTGCGGAGAGGCCCCTACCATCCGGCTCTTCAACATAAGGCTTGGGTTTCTTTCTCAATTTGGACTTCTTCTTAGGGTTTCTCTCCAGGAGCTCTTTTATGTGCTGTGTCACTGGGGAGCAAACACAATGGTGAGGACCAGAGAACCTGAGGCTGGGAGGATGTTGCCCCCTGCTGGGTTCCTCATGGCACATGGGCTCTGGGTTTTGTTGACAGATAACGGTTTCTGGGGCCACTGGGATTGATGCTTGTGTAGGAGCTGGCAGAGGTGCCCCTGGGGAAGGAAGCCTAGCTTCTCTGCACCAGAGCAGCGCCTCCTGCTGCTAACGGGCTGGAAGTGCAGGGAAGGCTCTAGGGCAGTGCGGCCAGGGGAGATGAAACTGGGTTCACCGAGGGCCCGGAGGGAACCCCAATCCTTTGGATTCCTACATGGCTGTGCACCAGGGGTCTGCCAGTTTCAAAGTCCCTAAAACTGGGCAGCGTGTAGGTGGGCAGTGACTACAAGATGTTGGTGGGATGGCAGGTTGGTGCCACACTGGGCACTGCAGGGGAGGTGGTCACATTGTTAGGGCAACCCCAGGTGGGGCGGGGCGAATCTTGCGCATGCTCACAGGATATATGCTGGGCCCAGCTAGCTCTCCCCTTTCTACTCTCCCACACAGCTGAGAGCTCGGCCTCTGGTCCCCCAAACACACCAGGCCACACAACTCCCCCAACCCAGGTGGCTGCCTGACTGAAGAAGGTACCACTAGTCCTGAGTCCTCCTGTCTAGGGGTTTGCCTTGGTTTCCCAGGCCCTGCAGGCCCAGGACAGTGGCTGTTTAGGTGGTTATGCTGGACAATTCCCTGATCTTAAAAGACACAAGGTGAACAAAGATGAGATAGGAAGGGTGTGTGTGTGTGAAGGAAAGCAAGCAAATGGGGCAAACGCAGGTAAAGGGCACATCTTGTGTGGGTGTTTCAGTCTATCTGGAATTGTGCCAAATTAACTTTCATGCAATGAGAAACATGCTTAAGGTCACAAGGCTAATAATCGTGAGGCTGGGGTTGAACTCACGAATGCTGTGACCTGTGACCTACCCACAGAGCCATCTTGTCTTCTCAGGTGAGTCTGTGCTCCGCTGTGACTCTGGGGTCCAGTGCCCTTTGTCTATCTGAGACTGTGTTCAAGTTTTGCTCATGAACAGTAACTTGGGCCAAATATAGCATCTTCACCAGAAAAATGCCTCACCCTCACCGGCAACAAAACAAAAAACTCTACTCAAACCCTCTCTGGGCACAGTTACACTGCTCTGGCATTGGACAATTATCTGAAGAACTTACAAGGCAAGCCTAACTTTTAATCTTTGGTATCTATCTTGTCTATAAATATCTTTATTTTAAAAAATCCAACTCTTTATTTTACGACAATTGTAGATTCATCGGTAGTTGGAAGACATCATGGTGTACTTGTCCCAGTTTCCCTCAGTGGGAGCATCTTGAATACCATCTCACAACCCGGATGCTGACTCTGAGGCTGCCAAGACACACGCCACCACGTGGACTCCCGCACCTTTATTCATGAAAGAGAGTTCTGAGGCTAGAACTCTGTGAGCAGTTTCTTTCCTTCCTTTCAGTACTTGAAAAATAACACGTGACTTGATGTCCAGTTTCTGTGGACAGCCTGCAGTCAGCACTACTGTTGCTCCTTTTTTCTGAAGTCTCTTAAAATTTCCTCTTCTGCTTCGGTTTGACTCTACGTAGTTGCGTGTCTGCTGAACTTCTTGAATCGGTGGCTTTCATCAGTTTTGACAATTTCTTGGCCATTGTTTCTTCAAGTATTTTCCCATTCTTTCCCTTTCTCTTCTGGGACTCAAATTACATGTCATATATTTAGCCTGACCATAGGCTCTGTTCCTTTTCTTAATTCATTTCTTCTTAATACATTTTTTCTTTGTGCTTCAAGTTCGTTTGTTTTCTGTTAGTTCCCGAATCCTGTCTTCTTTTTCATTTACTTTTTAGTGTGAATTGAGTGAAGGTTTACGGAGCAGATCATCAGTTCTACATTCAGCAAATCGTAACATTTTGCTTCATTGTGATTGTAATCTCCTTCACGTACCATCAGTTAACAGTATGTATCTCCTGCAATCCTTCCTGCCTCCAACTACTTTCTCTACCAAGCTTCTTGTTGTATATTATCTGTCTTATCACCCATGTTAACATGTGCTTACCCTCTGCTGTTGTTATATGCCGTGGAGTCGGTTCTGACTCAGAGCGACCCTGTACAGGGTTTCCGAGGCTATAAAAGCCTCGTCTTTCTCCCACAGAACAGCTGGTAGTCTCCAACTGCTGACCCTGAGGTTAGCAGTCTGATTCATAAGTACTACCCTACCAGAGCTCCTTGCGTCTACCCTCTAGCTCCTGAGTAATTTCTCCCCCACCCCCAACACCATCATAGAATGTTTCATTTAGCAAGAAAATCTTTTCATAATGTTTTACAACAGTGGTCTCACACAATATTTGTACTTTTGTGACTAATAAAACTCAGCATACAGGTTAGTCTTCATTGTGCGCATGTACCAAACTTGTTGACCCATTCTTCTGTGGCTGGGCACTGAGGCTGTCTCCACGTGTGTGCAGAGATCTAGTCATGTCACAGCTCTTCTTTCTTGAGGAATTGCTGGGTCTTACTGGATTTCTATTTACAACGTTTTGAGAAAGGGCCTATCACTTTCTACAGTGGTGGCATCATTTTACAGTTCCCCTAGCAAAGTAGGGGTAGCAGTCTCTCCCCACCCTCACCAGCATTTGTTGTCACAATTTTGAACTTAGCTATTAATCCTGGAGTAAGATGACATGTAATTATTGTTTCAATCTGCATCTCTCTAATGGCTAATCATGGAGTCCTGGTGTGACGCTCCGCTACAGGCTAATGCGTCAGACTGCAAAGTCGTTTGAACTGCAAGTTCAGTGGTTCAAGCTCACCAGTGGCTCCTTGGAAACCCTATACAGGGGTCGCTATGGGTCGGAATCAACTCGACGGCACTTAACAACAACAGCTAATCATGAGCGTTTCTTCATGTTTGTTGGCCACCTGAATGTTTTCTTTGATGAAATATCTTTATATGTCCTCTGTCCATTTTAAAATAGGATTCTTTCTCTTCTTGTTGAGGTGTTGAAATGTTCTGTAAATTTTGGAGAGTAGTCCTTTATCTGGTATGTCGTTACCAAACATTTTCTCCTGGTTCTGTGGGTTCTTTTTACTGTTTTGGTGAAACAGTAAAAAGAGTTGTCGAGTTACTTTCGACTCATAGCGACCCTATCTGGATAGTGCTTTCAACAAGTGGCTGCTAAGTCTGAACTTCTGACACTGTGGTTCAAAGTGACCTTGCGGTCCAATGCTTTATCCTACAGCGCCACACCTCATCTTGAAGAGGTCCCACTCATCTATTCTGTCTTCCATTTATGTGTTTTCATTATATCTGATGGTATATTTCTGTCATGTGCCAGAGTCCCCAAGCTTGTCCCTGTTTCTTCTTGATGAGCTTTGTAGTTGGAGGGTTTACATTTGAGCTCATTTTTGTATACGGTGTGAAACATGGGTCTTGTCCGATTTTTCTGCAGTGCATTTCCAACATTGCAAGTACCATTTGTTGAAGCCCACTGACTGTAGGTGGATGGACTTCCTTCTATTTCATTGACCTGTGTGTCCTTGTTGTACCCGCACCAGGCTGTTTGTACTGCTGAGGCTGTGAGTAGGTTCTGAGATTGGGAGGAGAGGAGACACCTCCTACTTTGTTACCGTTTTAAAATAATGCTTTTCTTATCTGGGGTCCTTTTCCTTCCCCTATAAAGTTAGTGATTAGCTTTTCTATTTCTTCAAATAATGATGCTGGGATCTGGACTGGACTTGAATTATCTATAGAGATTGCTTTGGGTATCACTGACATTTTCATAACGTTAAGTCTTCCAATTCATGAATAGGGTGTATTTCTCCATTTCTGCAGATCTTTTTTGGTTTCTTGTAGTAGTGTTTGTAGGTGTCTTTGTACAAGTCTTCTGTTCTTTGGTTATATTTATTCCCAAGTATTTTCTCTTTTGGGTGGCTATTGTCATGTACCATGTGTACTGTTTCCCTGATTTCCTGTCCAGAGCTCTCTTTATTAATATTGAATAGGAGTGGTGATAAACGTCATCCTTGTCTGGTTCCTGTTTGCATGGGGAATGACTTCAGTTTCTCATAGTTGAGAATGGTGTTGGCTGTTGGTTTCGTATATATGCTCTTTATTAAGTTGAGAAGTTTTCCTTCTACTGCTATTTTGATAGTGTTTTTTTAATCAAGATTGATGGTTGGATTTTGTTAAATGCCTTTCTGCATCAACTGATATGATTATGTGATTCCCCCGCCCCTCTTTGTTTTATTTATGTGGTAGATTATGTTGATTAATTTTCTAATATCAAACCATCTCTGCATCGCTGGTATGAATCCCACTCGGTCATGATCTATTGTTTTGGGATATTGTTAAGACTCTATTGGCTAGGATTTTGAGAATTTTTACAACTATGTTCATGAGAGATATGGTCTATAATTTTCTTTCTTAGGATGTTTATGTCTGATTTTGGTATCAGAGTTATGCTTGCTTTATAATATAAATTCGAGAGTTTCTCATCTTTTTCTGTATTATGGAATACTCTGAGTAGAACTGGTGTCAGCTCTTCTCTGAATGTTTGGTAGAATTCACCAGTAAAGCCGTTTGGGCCTGGACTTTTTTAGTTGGGAATTAAAAAAATGACTTTATCAGTTTCTTCTCTTGTTATTGTTGTTAAGTATCATTTGATTCCAACTCCAAACAACCTTGTGTAGGGTTTCCAAAGCTTGAATCTTTATGGGAGCAGAAACCCCCACCTTACTTCTTTGGAGTGGCTAGCAGGTTCAAACCATGGACCTTGTAGTTTGCAGTCCAGCGCTTATTATATGGAGTTACTGCACGCTCATCTCGTCATGTTGTTGTGAAGTGCCGTTGAGTCGATTCTGACCTATAGTGACCCTGTATATGGTTTCCAAGGAGCAGCTGGTGAACTTGAACCACCGACTTTGCAGTTCAAACGACTGCAGTCTGACATATTAGCCCAC